ACTCTCATGTAATAAACGTGCTCCTCTAGAGCTAAGCAACTTCTCACACAAATGCACAACCCCAAGTCCTGCTTCCTCCTCCTGCAGACCTAATCACGGCTCCTAAATGCACCATCCTCCTGCCATCCCTGGAATTCTGAGGTCAGCCTTGACTTCTCCCACTTCCTCCACAGTCATCTTGAGGTGCCACATTACTCTGTTATTCTCCATCTCACATCTTTGAATCAGGATTCCATGAATCATACTGCAAACACATAGCTATTTTTCGTACCACTAAGAAAGAAAGGACGTGTTATTTAAAGCATGTCGCCATGCTTTAATTTCCTGGAAGTTCTATTTTCTACTTACTGAAAAAGCCCTTCTAGAACCATTTAGATACCCATTTTTATGACATAGCATGCTTGTACTTAAAGAAAAATGAGAATATAACAGAAACAAATCACCTGAATACCCCCAAGATTTTACATCCAGAGTCTGACTCTTCCGAGACACTTTTTGACTGCGAGTCAAAGGCATCCATGCTCCTGCACATAGCGTGGGAAGGCTGCCCCACCGTCATCTCTGAAGAGCCTCCAAGTCACTGGTATCTGATCTGCACATTTCGGTGCTGGTGCTTTATGTCCCGCAGAGTGGGAGGCAATCCTTTTGCACCACTCTCAGGAACAAAACGTACCCAAATGTGGTTGGTCGCTTGCTGGCCACATAGCCCTTCCCTCTCAGGCTACACACAGGTTTGCAAAGCGAATCAGCTCTTCCGTGCTCCTCTGCTGAGGGAGAGCCTACTTCTCCACCTCCTGAGATCTGAGCTAGTTTGCAGCATCCTGCTGGAAGATAAGATGCCACGTGGAAGGGAACCAAAATGCTCAACAACCAGCACTCACTGCCAGACGTGTTGGTGAGGCCAGCGGGAACATCCCAATCCAGCAAACCTTCCACTGAACACAGCCTCCTAAGCAGCCAAAGTGAAACCAGCCCAAGACCTGTGCAGCCAAGTCACAGAACTTAAAGAAATCATAGCCCTTGTTGCCTGAAGCCCCTGGTTTGGGGGTGGCTCATTATACCACGTAGATCACTGACACTGGAAGCTGCACCTTTGTGTGTCTACCTCACTGTCTCAGGTCCTGCAGAGCTGGTTGCCACTCCGCAAGAATAGAAGAATTGAAGAAGAATATACTCAATGGATAGCAAATTTACATCTTGATGTTCTACTTTTAGGCCTTTCTATGTATATAGTAACTTTTTGTTTAAATTCTTTGTCACAGCAAAATCATTTTGAGAACATTTTACACAGCAGTTAAATTCAACATGTACAGAATCAACCCCATCCCCAACTCAATTGAAGACACAGTCAGATGAGCAGCTACAGCCAAGTTTCTCCATGAGCAACCAGCACCTGCAACGTGGCTGCCAACAGAAGTCCTGAGACACCGTCAACGTCAGCTGCACCTGTTCCAGGGATGTCAGGATGTGGGAACGTGCCCTCCATAGAATCCATGATACACAGCATCTCCCAAGTCCCACTGCTCTGCTCCACCTGTCACCTCATTGGGAATGTGTATTTTGCTCCCTTTCCAGTCCATACAATTTATTCCATCAGTAGTGGTGAGTATCAAGTAGATATGATCCACTGCACTCCCTTGCTTATATCTGGATCCCTGCAAATAAAAACATCTTCCTGGGGGGCCCAGCTCCCCGACCCCCTACCTGCCCATTCTCATAGTGCTTTCCCACCATGGGTATTAGGTGTTTCTTCCTGACTCCATTGGGCAGTGTTGATGGGAGACATAGGCAGATGTGGAAGTTAAACAGTTTATGGGAGAGGCATCACTGGTTTGTTGGAATTGTGGAGGCGGGGAGGTGTTGGTGCTGGTGGAATCTGGGTTGATTTAATTACTGGGATTTAATTCACTGAGCAGGAGGGTTAGATGAGGTCCGCTAGGTTACTGTCACGCTAATTGACACTCTGACTTCTCCAATGGTGGAAACTTACGCTTCCCTCATCTTTGTGTCTCTCATGCTGGCAGGGTGTGCTTGGCATACTTCCAGCAACTCACCATGGCCTCTGGACGACCAGAGGAATCAACAAGTGCCCCGTTCAGGCCTGATATCCTGGGGATCACAGGTTCTAGGTCATGTTTGTGATTTCTTCATTGAAGGGTCAAGAAAGACTTTCTGCTTTGTATTCTAGGTACTTTTTTTTTAAGCTTGCAAATTTAGAAGAAAATCCAGCCTCCAATTTTAGGAAAAGCTGTTACTTTGATTGGCTGATGTTATGAGTGTGTTCACATCACCAAGGGTCCCAACAGCCCCCCATATTCCTCAAGGCAATATCTTAATGGATGTTCACTCCTGTAATTTATTTTTTATTTTGTACCTTCTTTTCCAAAAAGATGCTGACAGGTCACATAGAAAACAGATAAAAGAGGTTTAGCAAGTTAGAAATGGAAAACCAGGGGCAAGCAAGTAAAGAAACAAACACATTTATCATAAATGGCTAAGTTGCTACAACTCATCATAAATTCAAGCCTCAGAGAAGTCCTGTGTGTGGAACTCTTTTCATTCTTAGAAGCACACCCGCTCTTCAAATGAAGCCAAAAAATATTAATACTGAGTTCTAAGATAACACATGTTTACAGATGTAGACCTTTATATATGGGACAATGAATATCGCAAGGCATATCATTTTTGCATTCTCAATGATCATCATTCATTCATCCATTCAACAAACACCCAATATTAAAATGCATTTCCTAGAAAAAGAAAATCCAAATAAATAAGGCGATCATTTGACTCAAGAAGCTACAAAAAATAACGAGTCGATTCAGAAGAAAAGCCCTGGCAGCAAAAGCCAGACAAGGACAACGTGAGAAAGAAGTCAGACAGGCCCTCCTCACTCATGAGCAGACATGCAAAAATGTCCGACAAAGCTTAGCAAAACATATTCAGAAAAACATTTTTTGAAACATAAGGCTTAATCAGCGAGTGAAGGTGGATGAGGACCGTGGTCGTGAACTCGGCGTGAAGACTCAGGTCAGCAGTGTCATTACCTCCAGCAGCAGCAGGCTACGTCAGTGCAAGTGCAGGGGAAGTGCAGGGCGCTCACCCCGGGCCAGACACTTGCCAGATGCACACAGTGGCTCACGGGTGAGAAAATCAAAGCTATATGCAGGAGGGTGATTAAAATGGCAATCATGAAACCTGAGCTGCAGCAGCAGAAAAGCAAAGCCCGGGGCTGTTAGTTACTGGGAAAGAACAGACCAGAACAATGTGGACCCTCAAAACCAGTGTGTCACAGTAGGGAGGGCATTCAAGCCTGTGAGCCGGGCAGACAGACACTGGCAAGGGTATGCGTTCAACAGCTTTGTCGAATAAATATTAATGTCAGTTGAACCACTAAAAGACAGCTTTGGTAGGATGGTCGGGGATATATGAGAATCACATAAACATGTTATAAGGACTGCTCAGCCCCTCTAGGATCCAGCTTCTGCATTCCTGTGTAGTCCTGTACCCTGATACCTCCTTGTCATTCTTCCTCATGCTTTATGCTGCAACTTCAAATTGTGTGTTGATTAGCAAACACACACACATATGCATCCATACACATAGGCACACAGGCATACACACACACATATGTATCCATGCACACAAATGTATTTATATGCACACCCATGTATGCCTCTGTACACATGCATATGCATTCATACACACACATGCATATGCATACACATACATGCATGTGCATACATACACACATGCACACACACATCCATACACACATGCATCATATATACATGTGTATGCATGCACACATGCACATATGCATCCATACACATACCTCCAAACATACATACGTATACACATACACATCATATGCACACATATATGCATCATACACATTCACACATGAATGTACACCTGTACATGTACTCATGTGCACACATGCACACATATGCCTCCATACACCCATGCATTCATACATATACATGCATGCCTCCATACACACTTATGTATTTATACATATACATACATGCATTCTTACACATGCACCTATACACACATGCATATACACATATGCCTCTGTACACATGTGCACCTATACACACATGTATTCATATGCACACACATGTATTCATGTGCACATACACATGCATCCATGTACACGCATATGCACCCACTCACACATGGATTCATGTGCACACACACATGCATCCACTCACACATATGTATTCAAATGCACACAGATGCATCCATGTACACACACATCCACTCACACATGTATTCATATGCACACATATGCATTCATGTACACACATATGCATCCACTCACACATGTATTCATGTGCACACAAATGCATCCATGTACACACACATGCATCCACTTACACATGTATTCATATGCACATGCATCCATGTACACACATATGCATCCACTCACATGTATGCATATGCACACATGCATGCATCCATACATACACATGCATCCACTCACACATATTCATATTCACACAGACATATGCATCCATACATATACATGCATGCCTCCATGCACACATATTTATACACACATGCACCCGTACATGCATACACATATGTATTCATACACACATGCGCATGCAGTGAGCTGCTTCTCCCCGCTGCTGCCTTACTGCCACATCTGCCTGGAATGTCCTCCTCCCACCCTTCACCAGAGCCCACTGCCACTCATGCTGAGCTTGAATCAATTACTCTCCTCTCGTCTCATAAGAGTTCAAATATATTTTTGTCTTCACACCTACTGGGTTGCATTACAAATGCCTGTGTGTACCTCTCAGCTCCGGGCTCTGTGCTGCAAGCATAAACTTCCTCTCCTGTTACACCATTCTCAGGAGTGCACCGGCTTTTTCTTTATAAGCCTGGTACTGATGCTGGTCCAGGAAGCTCTGTTTACAGCCCGGGCCCTCGCACGGCACTGTGCCCTTGTTAATGCCAGAAGGCGCCAGAATCAGGAACAAGTTACTTACTTGTTTTAAAACGTTATTTACTTTTTTCTTTCTCTGTAGGTGTTTTTCAACATTCGCATACCTTCTGCAAGACAAAAGATATTCAACTTGAAATGTAACTCCCTGCGGAGTTATCTCTATAAAATGTAGGCTGCCTGGTCTTTAGGAGGGGAGTGACCATGCGGAGGAGCAAGCTGTCCACAGGGGACATGGCTCATGCAGCAGTGATTTCCCGGCCTCAGAAACAGAAAGCACCCCAGGAATCTGCTGGATTTCCTTCCTGGAGATCAGATGGCCCATCCTCCTTCTACCACAGCCCAGATCCCCTGCCCACCCGCCGCCTCTGCAAGTGCAGGCATCCCATTTCCAGTTCCTCTTTAGTGAGGATTTCTCCAATAGCTGCTACTCAGATTTGGAAATGTTTCTACCCCAGGATTCTCTGCAAAACAGCACCTCCTTGGTCTATTCTGTGTAAGCCACATGAGCTTCAGTCTCTGTACGATTGCATGCAGCCTCCTGTTGACCCTAAGCTCAACAACTTCAGCAAAGGAAAAAGACATTTAAGCCACTCAGACTCAGTCAGGGCTTCCCAATGAACAGATGATGGCAAAAAGCAAAACACATTGCGAGGTGGGAAACACGTAGGGGCAGGTAGAAAGAACGACTCCACTCCACAGCCCCGAGATGCTTCTCCTCACTGTGCATCAGGACTATTAGCACGAATTAAGTCAATAAAATCAAGAAATAGCCACGTGTGCCAGGCACACAGGTGGGACTCCAACCTAACCATCTGCCTGGATACCAAACTCTGTGGGGTTGTCCTCGGTAGACAGGACAAAGGGAGCCTTTCTCTGCCTTGAAGGACAAACCCTAGCAGCACATGAAGCAGCATGGGAGGAGGCCATCCCGGACGCTGCGCCCTCAACGGAGGTTCAAGCTCTCCAAATGCAGAAGGCGCTCGTGCCACAAAACCTCAGGTGTAGAGGAAGGCTGGCCACCTGCATGGTGTGCAAACCATCTGTCCTGCTCCACAATGACAGGGAAAATGACAGCTCTTTTTCTTTGCTTGAGATAATAACCATTAAAAACTTGATGACAAACTAGCTCCAGGAAGGTTCCTAGTAAGCCCTCAAGTCGTGTCCTACTCGAAATGCATTTCAAACACACCAGTCAGGGCTGAACAGCTGAGAATGAAGAATCCCACAGATGGGCTCCAGGACCACCTGTCTCTGCACCCTTCATCTCCCTGCCGGTCACTGCTTCATGGCCATAAACACACATGCAGTGGGGCACCCGCTTAGCCACACCCAGAATGACTACGAAAATCATGGCTTTTTTCACCAGGAGAGAGCGACACTCAGCACAGACTGTATTTTAGGTATGGGAAAGCAAGCCAAATCAAGAAAACAAAGCATCACACTGGGTACGCCACGGGCAGCCATGCTGTGCCTAGAATCGGCTCTGAAACTATATCGCACATTTCAAGTCTCGATCTCTAAGATTCCTGGTTTCCCAGAGAAAAGCAGCAGACCCAGCGCAGATCTTTCTGTCCTTGTGAATACATCATACAAGAGCAGTTCCCCCACACCTCATTTTTAAAATCTAAAATTGTATCATATGTAAGAATATTACATTTCACCACTGAAAAATAACCAATAGCTGAACTGGACCTATTTGGGAGAGATACTAGGGGAAAGGCAATTTGTTTCCAGCACTCAGGAAGGGAAGGTATGAAGCATGCTCACTGTTGGACCTCGCTGGGCACCCTCGGAGACTTCCAGTAAGGAAAATGCTTGAAGGTCTCCAGTCCGGCAGCAACATAAAAGTGATTGTCTTGCAAATCCTTTGAGTTATCCAATAGATGCCCATCCATTGTAAACAATCTGCAAAAACAGAAAGAAGAAATGGGATAGAGATTTGAGGATCAGTAACACAGGGCTTGGGGTACGTGTGCAGACACTGTGACTAGTGCATGGACCACTGGAGAAACAGCGCTCATCATTAGCCAGGGTCACCCAAATGGGCCAATTAATCCCAATGGGAGCTGCTCTTCCAGGATGAGACCTGCTTTCCATTTTTAGATTTTTTTAAATTAAAGCGTATTTTTAATTATACACAAGTGCTCAGAGGCTCTCAAGAACATGTTACACTCTTGGTTAGTGTTCAATTAATTTTAACTAATAACAGCTAAAATTACCACAAATTGGCTCATATTGTTATAACTACTTTGAAAACAAACCAGGATGTATTAGCAGATAATATGCATTTTTATAAGTACCAAAAGACTAATATTAGTCTACTTTTTTTATTTCTTTGATTTTCAGTTTACTATTCTTGATCGATCCAACAGAAAGCAAGATAGAAACATTCAACAAATATATCATTTGTTCATTTTTCTCTTCTACATTAACCTGTTAGACACATTTGTCACTCTGAAAATTATAATTCACAAGAATTCCGAATTGAATTCTAATAAAAATAATTACTTTCATCAATTTTCTGATAATGCTAGTATTAGTCTACTTTTTACTCAGTACTCGTTTGGGGCAGGTACTCCTTCACTAATTTATTTAGGAAACGATTCAATTCATTCAATGCTGAGCCTCTGCATGCATAAGACGATGAGGTAGGCAATGCATTCAATAGAAATTTGCATGGAAGGTCTCTGCCTCTCCAGAGTCAGGAAGCACACAAAAGCCTGCAAAGCCGAACATGACAGGTGAAGTGCAAAGGGCTGGGGGCCCAAGAGAAGAAAGGCTGAACCCAGTGCAGGCTTCACAAAGGTGGAGGAACTTGAAACAGGGTCGGGAGGGTGCGTGGGACTTCATCATGTACCGATGGGATGAAGCCATCTGGGCAGGAGGATTCTGTGCAAAAAGCTGGAACCCAGGTGGGAGGGGAGCTGACAGCCACTGAGGGTGAGGCGCAGACACAGCTGTGAATGAGCAGGACGGGGCGGTTTCCAAAGAGCCTTGAATTCTGGGGAGGGGCATTTATCGTTAATTTCGTCAGAGTGAAGATTTCCAAGGAAGAGTGGATAAAGGCTGTGTTTTAGCGCTAGTGAGCGGGCAGCTGTGGCCAGGACGTGACTGAGGAAGGATTGCCCCCGTGGGAGGAGACTCAGAGCTACCACAATAGCCTGAGAGGAAGGAACAAATTAGGGCAGGAAGAGTAGGAGCAGAAGAGAAGAAACGCAGGGGACATGGAAAGGAAGCATCTACGGAACCTATCCCTCGCAGAGCTAGGCATCAGAGCTGCCAGGAAGGCCAGCTGCAGAGTGCTGGGCCCCACCCACTGCAGGGCTCCCGGCTCAGGAAGCCTGGGAGAAGGCCTGTGCAGGGCGTTTCTAACGAGCTTCTGGCTGACGCTGCTGCTTCTGCTGCTTCTGCTGCTTCTGAACCCTGTCCCGAGAGCTGCTGCAGAGACGACCCTGGAGAAAACGCAAGAGGCATCAAGACAGGAGACTGGGAGAGGCATGGCGGAGCAGCACGTGGGGAGCCGGCCAGCTGGAGCAGAGGCTTCCACAGGACACCCAGCGCTTGGAATTCTGTTCTCCTCCGCCAGGGCCCAGGGACAGTCAGTCCCCTCTGGTGGACTTGGACAGCTGGTGCCAGCATCCCCAGGAGTAAGTCAGGAACATGCAGAAGCCTGGCCAGGGAACGGGGCACTGACGGTGGTCCTAAGGAGAAGGTGTCCTCCCAGCGACTGCTCTCGGGGCCAAACAGCAAGGCTCTGAAGGGTGGGAACAGACGGACCAAGAATTCACACGTGAATATAAAAAATGCCATCAAAGAGGTGGCAGATATTCCCAGGATGAATAAGAATATGAAACCATAAAACAGAAGCAAGTAGAAATACTGAGGTGAAACTCAAGTCCTGGAAAGAAAGATCACGATGGGGTGGATCAGAGAATGTGGACGTGGACGAGGCGCTAGCTGCTGTCTGGAGGTGAAATTGAGGAACGCACTTAGAGGAAAGCAGGGACGAGGAGACAGGATCTGCAAAGGAAGAGCTGAGAGACCAGGGTGAGTAGCCGTGCCAACACAGCCGATAAGAATCCCAAAAGGAAGTTATAGTAAAAGTGCAAGGAGAAAATATGTGTAGAAATCATGAATATTAATTTCCTGGAATTGAGGAAAGAGGATAGCTGCAGGTGAAAGAGTCCACAGATGTCAAAGAATGGAAACTACAGGAAAACTCGCCGGCAGATACCTGGGTGTGACACCTGAGGTCACAGACAGCATCCTAAAGGTACTGGGACAGAAGACCCAGCTGCATCGCCCGGCAGGACAGGACTGACTGGGGCCTTTCAGCAGCAGCACAGACAGGAGAGACACTGATATTTTCAAAATCTAGAAGAAAAGAACATTAAAGCCAGCCAGACCCTCACGTAAACAGAAGGGACGAGATAAAAATGTCCTCAGGCTTACAAGGCCTCAGGAGATTGGCCAGAGACCCACGCCAAGAACATTTTTAAAGGACGTGGTTAAATAAAAGGTACAGCAAATCCAGGAGTCGCTATGAGAATGATGTGAAGTAAAGGTGACCAAACACAAGGTCAATTTGTATTATCCTTTTTTGTTTTTTTGAGACGGAGTCTCGTTCTGTCGCCAGGCTGGAGTGCAGTGGCGCGATCTCAGCTCACTGCAACCTCCACCTCCCAAGTTCAATTCTCCTGCCTCAGCCTCCAAAGTAGCCAGGACTGCAGGCAGATACCCCACACCCACACCACCACGCCCAGCTAATTTTTTTATTTTTAGTAGAGACGGCATTTCACCATGCTGGCCAAGATGGTCTCCATCTCTCAACCTTGTGATCCGCCTGCCTCAGCCTCCCAAAGTGCTGGGACTACAGGCGTGAGCCACCACGCCTGGCCTGTGTTGTCTTTTTTTAAAAAGCTAAGATCAAACAAAACATGTTCCTTATAGCCCAAAATTCCAATTCTCGATCATAGCCATGCAATAGGAGCTGCCGAGGGGAGACCAAGGGACATAAAAATGAGCTCATGTTCTTGGCTGGGGAGGGGGAAGACGCAGAAATCAATCAGCCCAGAATCACCAAGGCTTAGCGACTGGCAGGGGAGAAGGTGTGTGCAGCGTCCAGTGTGGGTCCAGGGATTCCGAGCCCTGAGCAGAATGCTGGAGACAAGGAGTGGGGCTGGTGGCTTGGGTGGAGGGAGGTGGAAGGGAAAATGAGCTGTCAGCAGCGAAGTAACTATGAAAAATGTGCCTGAAAAAGCTAAACTTGAATGTCTCCTCATAAACCAAAAGCGTGGCAGGCTTTCCTTCCAGCAGCAGGTGACTTGCAGGAATGAAGCTAGCTGTCTTTATGTTCATTTGTTTGCTTTTAGATAGCCGTGTTCTTTTCATTCAAGGATGGAAAAATAGATACTAAAGAACAGGACTCTGGATGGCTCCACGCAGGATTCAGGAGGTGCCCCCTAAATGGGGACAGAGCCATGCCACCGGTTTAAACCCTACGGGGCCAGCAGGACACCTGGCTGCCCACACGCTGGAGGAACACACAGCTCAGGCACGTTCCCCTCAGACTCTTCCCTAAACTCATCTCAGCCTCATTTTCTTCTAAGAGAGGTACAAAATCTACTCCCAGGGTGAAGGGTAAGTAGAAGTTCCTTGGTGGGATAAGACAGAAAGGAAGTCACAGACAGAAAAATGACACATGCATCCACGCACAAATGTGAGCCTGTATGATATGTTCAGATGACACCTATGCAGACATAGAAATGTGGGCCAGGACATCACATCCAGAGAACCGCAGCTCTTGCTGAAGTGTGAGTCTCGTGCAAATGAAGAACAAGAATACAGACAACAACTGAGATCATGCACGTAAATGACAGTGTTTTGCAACATAAAATGCTAAACCCTAGGGATTTCTATTGTTACCTGTATCAGAAAATGTAAGGACTAAATCAAAGAGCCGTTTGCAACATTGTTTTGCAAACTGAAAACATTACAAAAATGTCAATTATTAAGTGATTTTTAATGAACCTTAAAGACTGGGGATATGGTAGAAAATGTAAATATCTCTAAATTAAATATCCTTTACCAATAAACAGCCAATTTGGCTGTTTTCCCAAAATAAAGGTACAGTCTGTCTTACAGGAATTTTTAAATATTTGTGTTTAATGAGATTCCTTTTTAAGACCATGTAGCAATTAAAAGATAGATCTGATTTTCAGCTAAGGTTTCAGAATCTCTGCATGCACAGTCTCATTGGGCACCCTGAATCCTGGCCTCCAAGTCTATGGGTCCCAGCCGTTAGTTCAGCTAGTTCCCCCACTATTAAGGGACTAAAAAGCAGAGACGTATCAGACAGGGTCCCAAACTTTAAGGAGCTTAGAATGTGGAAGAGGAGAGACGACAAGTCCACAAATAACCATGTCCAAGGTTGATGGGCTATTGACCAGGACTCAGTCTTCAGGCCTCTCCTCCAACACCAACTCCATCCCACCCAGTGCCACAACCGTCATAGCATCCATGACACCCAGATTGTGTGTCTGTTTCTCCAACCTGACCTCTTCCCTGACTTCACACTCACATATCCAGCCTGGCGCATCTCCACTCTGATGTCCAATATGCCTCGCAAACAGGGGGCATCCAAAATTTAATTCATAACTCCCCAAAACCTGTTCCTCCTCCCACCTCCCCCTTAGGAATGGTACCAACAGTGTCCCAGCTGCTCTGATCAGACGGCTGGGAGTCTTCCTCCCCTTCTTCCTCCTCTCCCCTCCCGCATTGCCTCCCCCCCAACCCCACCCCCGCACCCCATCTCTCACTCACTCCTACATGAAGAGGTTGATCAGCAAGCCCCGTAGCATACAGAAACATAGCCAGAACCTGCCTGCCTTGGCCCCAGCTGCTGT